TTTCGTGAGTCCAGTGAAAAACCTCTGAAAAAAATACCATTAAATCGCCCTTTCCCCTTTTAAAATTTCACCTCCCCAGGACGTATTTTTTTGTAGCAAAAATTCTTTTAAAAAGCCCTGAAAAAGAAAACAAAACCAGGAAGAGATTTTTTAAGGCTCATAAACCCATTTAAGCGTAATGTCTGCTAATTAACCTTTTTAACCCAAAGGGAGCCATACTTAAAGACATACTACGAATGACCGCCGGCCGTACTTGAGGATGACGACTACTACAGAGTTTCCCTTTCAAAAATGGACTCTAAAAAGCATTGTGGAACTGAGCGAGGCCTTCCCGGGGTACCCATCACAGGGGGGAAGCAAGCAATGTCAATCGCCACCATAAACTACTGCCTCCTAAAACCACTGCTTTTAAAAGCTATACATCAACTAATATCATTTTTTCCTCTTTCACTTTAAATTTTTAGCCATTGGGCCATCAACAAATTGCAGTGGGGTTTTAATTTGCTCTGATAGCATTATTTTCTAAGACAACCTATAAAACTCATTGTAATAATAACATTAAAAATTAAAAACGGTTTGCAGAAAAAAATTGGTCTTTTCTAATTCTAGGGGAAAACCAATGGAAAAAAATTATCACTGTCTGTCAAAAAATCCAAAGTAATTTTTAAATTTAGGGTGAAGTGAAGTGTAACACAAATTAAAACTACAAATATACTCATTAACTAAGCTACATTGGGTTTGAACTAAAAAAAGTCCTGTGCCCGATGTAGATCTATTTCTTTTTTTTTTTTTGAAAGGTTTAAGAAGGACCCCAAGGAAAAGATAGGACCACAATGGAAATAACACTCTGTCTGACTTTTTTTGGGTTTTCCAGGGTTTTCTACACTATGCGCTATGTATGATAACTATGTAACTGTATTTGTGTATACCGGGAAAAACACTTACTTATAGTGATCTGTTTTGCTTTTAGCAGACAAATATTGAGCCCCCATGTTTACCTGTGTTGAAAACCCAACAGGATTTGTGCACTTCAACTTCTGCTTGCCCTATTTACTTTCTCTGCCTCACAGACCTCTCAAATTGTTTTACAACTAGTAGGAGACACCCACCGTTCTGCATGGTGATATTCCCCCCGACCCCTCGGGAAGGGGAAATACATCCTGACACCAGTGGCCATTTGGGTTCTGTTTTCTTCCATTGTGTTCCTGTACCCCCCCAAA